CTCTGAGGTCCTTTGAGAACAGGGGCCAGAGCCAGGTACATACCCAGCTGGCCTTCTACACAGATGGTTCACTACTGGGACACTCGCCTTCTCCTCATTTTCCTTTTTGTTTAATGAACACATCTTCCTTTTTTTTTTCCTCTCTCTCTAATTAGGTGGAACAAACAACTTGAACCAGAATTTTTATTTCCCAGAAAAGCACCCGCCTGGACACAGTAAATATGTCATTAATCATCATTCCGAGGCGGAGGAACACGCTGGGCTAGGGAGGAGGAAAAGCAGTCAGAGGGCCTAATTAGAGCGAGGCCTCCCTGCTCGCTCTCACTCCCACCCTCAGAGCCCCACTCCCACCACCAAGTCCGGAGCCCATCCATTGAAGGGGATCTTGGCTGAGTCAAACTTATGTAAATATCTCTTGTTAGCACCTCAGAAAAGGAGAGGAAAGGATATAGAAGAACAATACTCACCCTATCCCCTCTCCTTTCCACCCTCCCCCATTCTACCCGGAGGTCTTATTTTCATCCAGGAAATTGTTCTTATTATCGCTTAGCTATTTATAGAGGTGGCGAGGTCTGCTGAGCAGCCCCAAGCCAATGTGGTAATAGGGTGCCAGCTGCAGCTCCCTCCACACATTGGCTTTGGTTTGGGGCTAAAATATACCCCATCTAACCCTATTCTGGAACCTCCAGTTGTACCCCTGGCCCAGAAGCTGACCTGCAGGCCATGGGCCTCATAAGACTGGCCCTTGGACTGTGGAACAGGCCACACCCCTCTCACTAGCCCCTCTGCACATGGTTAGGACCAATACTCCTCCTGCCAGGATAGAAAAGTACTAGAAGGCTTCAAGTCACAGCCTAAATCTGGCCAGTTTTATAATTTCAAAGAGTGAGGCTGCTATTCCACTCTGTCTTCTTCTGTTATAGACTGGCTTGACAATACAGTAGGAACCACTTATCCAGAGGCTCACAGAAGGTTCTACTCATCCCAGAGGCCACAAGCTTGGCCCCAAGTTAAGAAGGGCCATATTGAGCTAAGGACCTAGAAAATGAGTTCTGGCAGCCTATGAGTTGTTGTCAACTAGCTCAGTAACTGGCCTTTGTGGGACTGTGTCGCCAGCTGTAAGGCCTAGGTCAGGCATATCAGAGAGTCCATCCTTGGGGGTACCTACTCTTAAGTTTGAGTCCCAGTTTCTGCCCAGCAGTTCACTTTGAACTCAGCATTTACTTGCAAAATGTAGATGTTTCTTCCTCGAAACAAATCTGACAATGAGATACAAATCCATTGTTATCCTATGAGAGCTGTTCAGTAAGTAGGGTCATCTACTCCCTGGCTGCGGTCCAGGAAAAACAAGGCTGAATCAGCACCTTTCCCTGTAGGATGTAAAATCCCTTCCCAGAGGGGACGTCTTTGAGTCTGAACAGACCCCAATGCCACCTCTAGTGGCCCTCTGCCTACATTCTCTCATGTGTGCAGATCTTAATGGGCTCCAAACTGATGGGGAAGTGTCTGGAAAGAGGGACAGAAGAGTGAAGGGGATGGCAGCCATGGTGGAGGAACCAGTTACAGGATGGCACTAAGATCCAAGAAGAAAACGCAAAGACCTATGACTTGTGCTCACGTCTCGATGAAGCCGTAGCACAGCTTGGTGCTTAGTGCATTGTTGGGGCTATAGAGGCTAACAGGTCTGAAGCTTCCAACCAGACTGTGCTGTTTCAATGGTGCAGAGACTTTCCTGGTCTCTTCTAGCTCTTGGCAGCTCCCAGCATTCCTTGGTTTATAGAAGGAGCATCCTAAACTCTGTCTTCATCACCACAGAGGCTGCCTAAGTTGTCTCCTTTCCAGGAAAGGACACTTTTGGAAGCCAGGATGGTCTCATCTCAAATTCCTTAACTAACTAATTAACTAATTGGCAAATGAATCCCCATTCTAAGACTGGGGTAGACTCCAATGTGGGGAGCGGGGTCAACCCATAAAAGAACCCTAGTACTACTTCTCCCACTAACTTCAGCATGAGTTTGGTAAAGTTTCGCTGCCTTGATGAGCCTTACCTGTGTCCTCCCTTGTCAAAAGGAAAGCCAGGCATTGGCCATACTGTGGCATGGTGGAGCTTTAATGAGATCAGGAAGTACAATGATTCGGAGAGGTGCAAAGGCTTATTTGGGGATAATCAAAGGTGGACGCACACATTCCCTACCTGAGCCTGTTCTTAACTCAGTATTTCTAACTGTGTCACCCTTCTACAGACTCCTTCTTTCTGTCTACTGCAACCCCCCCCCCACTTGCTTGCTGTGGATCTGGAGAGTCACCAACACCAGATGCCAGTTCATTTTTAAGAAGGACCTACCCAAGGCCTGGCTTCCATTAAACTAAGCCTGCTTTCTGCTGAGCTTTTAAAGGCTTGCAAGTCCAGGCTGTTTTTCACACACCATGGCAATCTCTGTAGTTCCTTTTTTCCATCCACTATCCAGCATTCAGCCAGGCCAAGGCTGTAAGGGAACTAACTCCCACAGTTCTGCATGGAGACTGGAGTCCATGCAGACTCCTGGGCCATCTCAGTACAGTAACACAAGGTCTTCTGTTCCTTCACCACCTGTCTCCCCAGACTCTGCTTCGAGATGGCAAACGCGAGAGCATTGTCAGCACCCTCTTCATCTCCCCGGGAGACGTGGAAAACGGGCAGAGTATTGTATGCCGAGCCACCAACAAAGCCATCCCTGGAGGAAAGGAGACCTCAGTCACCATAGACATCCAGCGTGAGTACCAGCTGACTCTGTGTGTAACCACCCCATGTGGAATGGTGTATATGTGCATATGTGTATATGCAGGTGAACATACCTGTGCACACTTAGAGGCCAGAAGAGGGTGTTGGGAATCCTCTTCTACCAACTCTGCCTATTCCCTTAAGGCAACGTCTCCCCCTGAACCTGGGTTTTATGTTTTCTCTGCCAAGCTGGAAGCCTGATGGAGCTTAAGAGCTCCAACAGTCCTCATTTCCCTGTCCCCCTTGAAGCTGGAGTTATAGGTGATATGGGATGCCTACTTATTATGAGGGTGCTAGGTTCCCAAATCCCATCCTCATGATTGCACAGCAAGTGCTCTCTAACTACTGAGCCATCTCTCCAGTCCCCTGAAGCTGATGGACTTCACAATGCTTTCTAAGCCCTCATTCAGGGCCTCTGGATCCTGTGTGCTGTGCTCTCCAGAGTTAGAGGGGCCACAGGAACTGTGCTGAGGGGTCTCAGAGCCTGTTTTGACAGCCAGAGGGCAGAAGTTTCCTCTCCGTGCCACAGATCCTAAGTGGCAGCCTTTGAAGTGCAGAGGACGTAGATATTAGTTAAGTACTGGGTAGGGGTTCGACACCCTGGCAGAACAACAGCCCCACCTCAAGGTGGTTCCTTCCATTCTTCACTCAGTGATAGTGGAAGCAACAGAGTTCTTACCAAACCCAGGGCTAGGGAGATAAAAGAAGCTAGAGAGAAATGCCTAGGGCTTCCATCCCCTGGCCCTACCCCCACCCTGGGTCTTAGCACCACCCAGCCAGCAGCTATGGCCAGAGAGCAAAGCCCCACTTGGGAAAGGAAGTATGATGCTCACTCGGCATGAGGGCCAACAATTCAGAATGGATCCATCACCATGAACTGAGTGGCTCTAGACTCGTCACTTCACTGATAATTCCAGTTTCTAGTCTGATTTGCCGAAGCCATCTGAGGTCTCTTCCTAGTCTAGGAGTAGTCAAAGCTGAAAGCGCTCTCACAAACACAAGCTGAATCCAGGGGGAGTGAGGGTGGGAGACAATAAGTGTCTAAGTCCCTAGCTTTCTGGCTGCCATTTGTGACACTCCTGTCCTGCTGCCCTATAGCCCCACCTAGGCAGGAGGCTATGCCAGCCACAGAGTCCCATGTATCCATAGTTAGTTCCCCAGGACAGGAGCCAGGACCCTGACAGAGAAAGATGGAGGAGAAATATTTCTGCTCCAGACCACTGTTCGTTGTCCCACAAGAACCTAGTGACAAGAATGTCATCATAATAGCATCCCATGTACATTCAAATGCATCCTTCCTCCAGACGCACTCCAGACAGAGGGCTAGTTGACCAGGATACCTGGATTACAGGGTTTCATCTGAAAGGATGAAGGAATGAGGCCAGCATGAGGCTTAGACCCAGGCATTGGGTTTCCCCGCTGGGATCCTTCCAAGGTAGCACAGAACAGTGGACAGGGTCCAACATTCACCCTAGTTTGAATTCTGGCTTGGCCAGTTACTGATTGGCCTCACTAGCGAATTGGTTTGGACCTTAGTTTCCTCATCAATACATAAAAGGAATCACACCTACCTACCTCTTACGGTCGCAGTTAGGATTAAATGACATCATTCATGTCAACCCCTAGCACCACACGCAGCATATTTTGATTAAAGCACATGCTGTGGTTGGAAATCAGAGTGACAGGTGTGTGGTGGCCTTTCCCCAGATGTCATCACAGCTCCATCCGTTTGACCCAGCGCTCCATGTCCCCTAGCAGGAAAGTGTTTATATACACCTACCAAGAAAAAGCCCAGCCCTTCTCCGTGCCTGCCTCCCCTGCCTTCCCCTCAGATTCACTTGCTCATTCAGTGAGCATCCAACTGTTTGCAGTGGACACCACAGGCTGGATCATAGCCGCCTTTGCAAACCTGCTCATTTTCTCAGTCAACCACGAAGCCTCCAAACTCAGCAAAAGCACATTTGTTGTTTGTTTCCCTTGGTCTTTATATGTTACCCAACGGAAGACAAAGCCCCCAGATTGGGTAATGGGAGAGAGCGCGTGACACCCCCCCAAAGCCTCACCACATCTGGACTCTGTGTCCAGCTGCCAAGTTTCAAACGGATGTGCTATAAAATCACTGAGTCATGAAGTTTCTCTCTGCCCCCCCAGTACTTCCTCTGAAAATGCACATGTGCACATACATACACACACACACACACACACACACACACACACACACGTTGCTGATGGAAACCCTAACAGACTCTCAGCTGTAACATCTGCTCAATGTGATCTCAGTTCCACCCTCCTGCAAGTTATGCATCCGACATCTCAAGTGGGATTAAAATCATGTTTAATCGTTGGGTATGACATAAACTATTTATACCTCTGGAATCTGTCAGACTCCTAGAAATCCACATCATACACATCCTGAGGAGAGGGATGGAAATGGGGACATGGGACCCCTGGCTCTGGGGATATAGATGCACGTGAAACTGACTGGAGTGGAACCTCCTGGGTCTAATCTCCTGAGGCCCTAGGGACCGAGGGTGCTGCAAAGAATGAAGGAAGAAGCAGAAGAGGCATCTACGGGGTGAACTGATAACACAGGTGTAAGTGAGCATCCAGCAAGTGAGGACAGGAGAGGGGGCGTCCAGCAGGTACACACTCCATCTTCTTGCTTCCCAAGGGATTATCACTTTGTAAAGAACACTGGGTGAAGGATGAGCCTTTGCAAGGCTCCCCTGAGCTCTGTAAGGGGTTTCTAGCGATTTTTGAACTGACACCATCATTGCAAACAAGAGTTGGATTGAGATCATCTATCACCCACCAGGACTGGATTTCACAATGTGAGGCTAGCAATGTGCAGAGGTCCGGACGGCAGTTAGCACAGTCAGCAAACTCCTCTAGACAAACTTCTTTACCAGGAGGAGTGGTCGGCTTGGCCAGCCTGTCCTGCCCAGGTCTGTAAGATTCCTGAGTCAGCATTGCCTGGGAAGCTGCTGGGAAACCACCAGGGAAGATGCTGCATAACTTGCAGGGGGGGTGTACTCCAAGTCTAAGAAGTGGGAGGAGAGTCCCCATGGTGGTCCCTTGACAGTGAGCCCTTGAATCTTGCTTTGAAAATCAAAATTCAGGTGGATGAAATGCCTTCCTGTATTACTCAGCTTCTCACCATTTATAGCAAACACATGAGATAGTAAAGGGGCGGGGGGAAATGGTTTCACTTCATTACTTGGGATGACCCACTCCATGACCCATTGCTTTGTCTGGGGTAAGATAGCATATCAAGGAGGGGGCGTGTGCTCCAGCCAAAGCACTTACTTGAGGGCCAAGGAACAAGGAAAAAGAAAGACACTGGGATTCTATAAGATCTCTCCTAAACTTCCCACTGCCCCTAACCCTCTCAAAGGTCCCAATTCCCCCTCAATAACATGTCTCTGAAGACCAAGTCATTAGCCCATGACCCATGAGGGTGAGAGGAGGCTTAAGTTCCACACGTCAGCACCATGATGTTTCCTGTAACCCCAAATGAAAAGGTTCACAAACCAGCTGCTCCTATACCTGATGAAGGACCTGTTTACGGTCCTCCTAGAACTAGAAAACAATGCAGGGAGAATAGACCCTCAAGCACGGGTGGCCACCTACTGCTCAGAAATGGGACTCTTTCCTGGCATCTGCCAATGCTAACACAGCTCAGTCCCTGTGCCCTCACCCAGCACCCAACATGAGCAGTGACTCACAGAAGGGACCCAGCAGACAATACTCCCAACCCCAAAACTCAGTTTATAACTCAGGGATGACTCTCAGGGCCCTCCTATAGTCTTGAACCAGGAGCCCAGAGCACCAGGATAGAGTGTCACTCCCTGGGGAGTCCCTCACAAATATCCTCCACGGCTGCTGAGAAACTGGATTCTTAACGCTGAACCCATAGAAAGTCTTTTTAACTCTGGTTCCCAAACCACACATTGCCAGGTCCAGGTTCAGGCCCAGGCCCAAGCTCAGGCCCAGACCCAGGCCCAGGAGATGGAAGCCCAGGGTGCTAGTGAGGCCATGGGGACTTAGCTGCCCTCTAATTCAGCATGCACTGTAGTCATGCTTCCAGACCCCATTGAGGAAAATCCCTGCTGTTGGATGCCGAAGAGTCTGAAAGTGCTGTGCCAAGGCTTGGGATATACTGGGAGCACAGCATCAGGATGAGCCAACCTGTGGCAGCTGGAGTGGAGGGGGGGCAAGGTAGGGGGTAAAGGGGTGGGGGATGAGGCTGACCACCAGAAAAGGGAAAAGCCAAACCAACACAAGACCATTCCCTGGGCCTAGATCTACCTCTCTGCATCTGCTTGCAAATCTTCAAGTTCTATTAGCCACATCCTTCCATTCTTCCTAAGTCTGTCTGTCTGTCTGTCTGTCTGTCTGTCTGTCTGTCTGCCTGCCTC